AATACAAAATTAATTTCAATTTTATATTGAATTTAATTTCCCAGATTTTGAGTGGTTTGATTACCTCTTTAAAACTGAAGTTATCTTGTATATTTATTGTATAAGTTTTGATATCTCCTTTATTCAGATTTATTTTATCTTAATTAGCGCTCAAATGCTTACATTATTTGTGTTTGATAATTATTAATATTTTATTTTAAAACGTGTAGACCAATTTGTGGAAGTTGAATTTTCCTAAATGGGAACTTTAATGCTGTAATTTTATTTGTTACTAACATAAAGCAGTTTTTGCTTTTATACCTAAAAAATATTAGATTTTTTTATGTAGGATTTCCTTCTCTCTTTCCCATAATTTTGTGTGTGTTTTTAATTTCTTTATGCTCTCATGGGAAAATTCATTATATTCATTTAGTGACATAATAATTTTTATATTTCCTTGGCAAACATGTTATGTCCGTGTGAAATTTATTTTCATTATAAAATTATATTATGAGACTAACTTGTCTTCAATTTTATGAGAATGTGTGCAACTGATGATTACCTTGGTATACAATTTTGGTAGAGACTTCTTATTGTCTTATAGGTTCATATTGAGAATCGACAAGATACAATTTCAACTTGGATATGCAATCATGATTCAGCCACTTAGAGTGCACAAAAGGGAGTAAGAGTATCCTGAAATACTCAGTGTTTATAGTTAAAATTATTTAATGAATTATTTGTTATATTGTTGCTCATAAGTGGTAGCAGGTGTACTCAAAGTTTCATGGACTTGAGAGGTACTCTTGATCATAATATTTAATGTATGATGTACTTCCGTTATACTTAAATGTATACCAATGCGTATTATATTTCCAATTATACTAAGGTCAAAATCCACTAATTATTTGTGTGCAAGATTGTGTAGGAAATATTTTAATAACATGCAGGTTTAAAGCTCGCTAAAATGGAGAACAAAGACATGACCTACATTACATATGCCTTGTGAAGGCTAGCTAGTCTTGATATGCATGCCTCGTGGAGGAGGCCATTAATGCAAAATGTCGAGGGGCATGTGCTTAAGCCCATAAGGGAGTCACCTAGGGAGGTAACCCAACTTATGTGATTGGCTATCCCATGAAGGAAGTTCAATGTGGTAGAAACAATCCATACTGCGTGACTCATATAGCACTCATAAAACTATGGAGATATCTTTGAGATATTCTTCTGCTCATCCCTAAGGCAAAAGTGCTATTTTATGTGACGTCAGGAAGGGATTTATCCCTGAATGAGTTTCGAGGAGGGCAAACTCCCGCAGGTCACATGTACTCTTGGAGAACTCACCTAAGTGAGAGACGTCGTGAGGCCGTGACTGTGAGAATTTGGCTATTCTCTAGTAACTCTCATGAGAATCAAGATTAGCGCATGGCCATAAATAGCGTTACCTCGCATCCAAGTCTCAACTAATACTATGTGTGGGATATGTTGAAGTTTGGTCAAAGGTGCCGAGTTCAATACTTTGTATGCTCAGGTTTCTCAAATGGAGACTGTCATCACTAAGTGAAGGTTCAAGCCCGGAAGACACCTACACCTATTACACAGTATATTGCCCATATATATTATATATTTTTCACTGTTTTTTTGTCACGGTAAAATTTTGAAAACCTTGTGGGGGATTGTTGGAATTTTTAAAAAGGTTTTAAAAATTTAACCGTTTTATTTATTTAATTATTTTGGCTATTTTATTTTATTTATTGTGGGGGATTATAAATATTTAATATTCATATTTTATTTCTATATTGAATGCCTTAATTTTCTAGTTGGTGAAGGTTACATGCTATTGGATGCATATAAAAGGCCAATCCTCCTTCACATTTGAAAAAACCACAATACACCATCAGAATATCACATACCACAATCACCACCACAAACTAATTCTCTCCTTTTCTACCTTTACATATATTCTCTATTTTATATTATTATTTTGGCAATGGTTCTGTGACTTGGATACCTATATCCGTCTATGAACGTGCTCATAGCGTATCTTGAGTTTGTGTACAAGGGGTCATATCTTAGAGTCTTGTAGACCGTCAGTGCATGCATGTAGGGAGGCTACAAAGGCTTTAGGACAGCGTCTTTGATGTGTTTCACCCTACCAAACTCACCTTCTTACTTATTATTTATTTTGCTTTTACTTACCTATTATTTTGTTTTCTTAAATTTCATTGTACCTTAAAAGCTTTCCAATTTGTTTATAAGTTATTTATAATATAAATGTTTTTGTATTTGGCTTTACGGAAAAGGAAAACTATATTTTTTATAACATGACCGTCAGTCAGATGAATTGTGTCCGAAAGAAATTTTCCACTCTTCAAATGAAGTTCTCTTCTTCATGAACGATGTTCCCACAAGTGTTTACGACAACATATCCAACAATGGGAGCCATCTGATCAGTATATCATTTTCTGAGTGCTAAGCACTGAAGCTTGTTCAAAGGGATGTTGTTAGTGACGATCAGTGTGTCCGAGAGAGCAATCGAACTCGCTTCCCTTATCTAATGAAGTCGACTCCGCCATGAGAGTTGTTCTCCCTGATGTCTAGTATAACATATCCAAAAATGGGAGCATTTGGATAAGTGTAATCTTCTCATATTCATGTCCGAAGATCCAGGTCAAAGGGCTCTTCAATATCAGTCAGCTACAGTCATATGAATTCTGTCCGATGAGGGCCTTAGAGTGTCCGAATGAGTGGACCAATCAGACGGGGAGAGAAGGAATAATATATATATATATATATATATATATGAAATCACTTAACAAATTCATGTCAAGTGGTTGCTTTCTTTTGATTTCTTTTATCTGCACATGGGAATAAACATCCACTTGGTGATGGACATGATGACAGAGTTGGATTAAACAATGAAGATGGAGCTGCTTCCTCTATAAATGGAGAAGCCGTGAGTAGCATTAGGACACACACTATTGGTTTGCTGGCTTAAGGATGCGAAAATAGGAAGTCTGGAGCAGAAGGGACCCGTCGTTAGTTCTGGAAATGACCGTTCGCCCAAACCCGAGAGCAACGAGTTAGTCCTTGTGCAAAGCGACCCGTCGCTTTGCTAAAAAACGACCGGTCACTGCGTCCTCATGTTAGCATATTAAATTTAAACAAAAAATTTATAATATGTTCATACCTTTCTTATATGTAATATGGGGACTAAAAATTGAGGATTTGTTGCAGCCTTTTTTTTATTGAAGATTTAATATGGGACAAAAAAATTGAGGATTTATTTAATATGAAAATTTATGATTTGTTGGAAGAAGAAGCCACCAAATCAAAGTCCTTAAATGTAGATATTGAGAGGGGAAAGAAGCTAAGAGATGATTTATGTAAAGTGGTCCTTGACAAAAATAAATAAATTAAGTGAGCCATGCTTGGAGCTGGTTCGGGCCAAACACGGCCCATATCGAGCAGTAGGCCGACCCGGTCTATTGAGCTTAATTTCTAATCCCACAAGAGAAAACCTTTAATCAACCCAATTTAGGGTTTGTTTTATTAATCCAAGTTGTGGAATCTTAAGGAACCACCCCACCCCTGTATATATCATCAGCTTATAGTATAGGGATTATGAACACATTTTTTATTCATTATTTCTCTCAAATATTATATATTTATAATTGAAGTTTCGGTCTATCCATTGCAAATGAAGACAAAGCAAAGTTTAATTTCCAAGATAAGTACTAGTATTTATTTAAGGTTTAAGTGCTACAGTACCCCCTGAAACATTTGTCAATTCCCACTCGAACATAAATAATAATAATAAACAAAAAAAATAAGCTTTTCAATTTCACTCGTAACTCTCTTTGCCATGTAAATTGCAAAAGGGCCAATTCTAAGGACCAAAGTCATGAATTTTACCAACCACACTCACTTCAAACCATTACGCGGCTGCCTAATCTTCATAATAACTATTATTCATCTAATAATTACAATGTCCACTTATTATGTGAATTAAGGCCATTTTTGAAACTGGTTTTGAAAAGGCTTGACTTGCGAGGTCTCATCGTCTTAGGTTTGAACTCCATGGCATTTTGGTTGTGTGTGTTCCCCTTTAGTTTAAACTATCGCTTATGTTCAACAAAAAATAATAATTTTGAAAGAGTTAAAAATGTTTAAATTAATGTATTATATATACTTTTTGTTCTTTATTTCAAACGTGCATATGAAACCAGGCCTCGGCAATTTCTATTTAATTTGTAGTACTTCGTTGAAACTTAGTCAACAACTCATAGGCTAATTAAAAGATACTCGGCTACTTAAGCTTTTCAGCCATTCTAACCCTAATCTTCATAAGTTAAATAGTATTATATTGTCGAGAGTCCAAGAATGCAATAAACCCCTCACTATTGTCTTCAATTCACAATATACAAATCAATGTTCCGTGTCTCCATTGTTAGAGCCGAAAGTAGGTTCAAGGTCTCTAATACAAACTCATGACTGTGGGATAACCACCACCAAGAAACAAAAAACCAAAGAAAAATAAAAATTCTAAACTTTGGCAACTTTTAAGTAATCCTTGCAGGACTTACAGATGCTTGTAACTTTTATGGACCTCTTAGGAAATGCTCTGTATCATCAATGAAAAAGAAACTCAACTTCTATTCGGTTGTCTGCAACAATTCCTTGATATTGTACCCTTGTAGTTGTCACAAACAACAAGCACGATCAGCTTTAGTAAATCCACACTTAAACAAATCATTGTTGAGAAAGATTATACATGGTCATAACTTCAATACTCGAACATCATCATGTTTATATGAAGGAAGGTCAGAAGCAATATCACTCTTGAGTTCCAGAGAGCATGTATTGTGATGGGGGTTAAAATGTTGCGAGTTTGAGCATATGACAATCCCACAGCAGAGCCTATATAGATCATATAGTACATGAGATAAATTGTGCTCGAGGATATCTAAACCACATTAATGTATGTTGAAGGTGATGTAGACTTTTTTTTATAAATTTTTTTAAGTAAACATGTTATCTAGCACAAACAACTGGGAAACTCTCCCGGAGTGAGATGTGCAAGTGCAAATACAACTGCACTTATTCCAATAGCAACTGGAGTAGGTACCCTGCAAAAAGTAGAGAGAAATAATCAATCATTGTAGGCATATTATGCAACTCCATAAAAGGGAAAACAGGGAAAAATACCACTGAGTCATGGAGAACATAAAAAAAACTCTGAAATACAGTTTCCTCAAGAATCGGAGCCAAAACTCCAGTGACACCCAACAAGCAAGCAGTGCTGCAATGTAGATTTAACAACAGTTGAATCAACTTGCTGAATCCTCAAGTCCTAGTGCTGAAAAGTTTCAACACCTAAGCCTATGAATACTATAATTCCCAGAACATGCACAAAAATGAAAAGACCTGGTAAAGTGCCTGACACTTGAAGATGCAATCAGTGGAAACAAGCTAACTAGAGCGTCCTCCTGAAACCAAGTAAAAATTAATAAAAATCACATATATGATTCCTTACATGGTGGAATTGATCCTGAAATATCATAGAATTTGTGTCCACTGCACTTTATAACGAGAGAGAAATCATAGGTAGGAATCAATTCAAACCTCTCTCTCTAGGCTCTCCCCCTTGAACAAGGACGCGGTAGCCCCTGTCACTGCGATGGCAACTATTGCACCAGCAAGACCAATCTCTGCCCACAAAAGCCACCCCTTCTGTAGACTAAAAGGGTCCTTCAAATCTAAAACAGCAATAGCTAATATTAGCTCGATGGATCACAGTCTAGATATAGGCTTAAACAAACCAGAATCTGGCAATAATGGGCTTTCAAATCAAAATTTTGCGACTATATGGTAAAAGTCTGTATCTACTTAATGACAAAGCATGTAGTTATAATGACCTACTAGCCAAATTCAAATATCCTTAATTCAGTATTGTGCATCAATCGCAGTCCATATATAAGCTACAAAAAGTGTTATCTCATTGAGACAACTACAAGAAAACGGGATGACATGAACCCTTTCTCACCTCTGTGTGTGTGTGTGTGTGTGTGTTTGTGTCTCTGTTGTCTTACTATAAAGTAAAAAAGGAGTTGGAAAAATCAGTACCATAGCGATAAATGTCTTGAGGCAGCGGTTGGAAAGTGCTGGCAACAGTATACAGAATTGCAAGTACAGCTGCAGTTGTAATACTAGCAAAACAATAACTGAATCAATTAGACCCTCATAAAATTATCATTCCAACACACAGCATTACAAGTAGAATTACAATGTGATAATACATACTGTTGATCAAGAAACAGTATCTCTGCCTTTTGTCATGAGTCGCACATAGACAAGTGCTACCATGATTCCGTTGGGACATCTATGCGTTTAAGAGGTAGTCTAAGTGTGGAAGGGCGAGAGCTTAAGAGCTAGAGTGATTGGTGTTGGCTAGGTTGCACTTATGAAGGGTATTTTAGGTATTTCTAAAGGTTACGGGAGGACCCTGAAGAAGCTAAGAATACCGGGATGTTCGTGATATTGAGACGTAGGTAACGCAACTGACGGTTTGCCATTCGGAGTTCATATGAGGGAGTTATGCCCAATTATGACTCATCGTGCATATGTGATGTTCCCTCCTGGCAGAAGGCTAAATGCATAAAATTCTATATAGGGGGTGACATGGTGTCATGCTCTCCATCACCCCTGGTGCTTACACCCTTGTGGCACTAAGCGAGCATCCTTATGACATTGAAGGTAGTCATAAGGGCGGGCATAAGATTGTTGAAGGATAATCTGTGTCTCCGAGGGAAAGGAATTCCCGAGGACAGTACGAACACGCGGAGCCGTTCGTATTGCGCATCGTTGTAAAGAGTGAGGTCAACGTATGACATTCGCTATGCCATCGGCTAGAGAGGCATTTGACAATACTCGATGGACTTGGCTTGGGTTCGGCCTTGTCCAAGATGAAAGGAAGATATTCGGATGCCGGTACGCATGGGTGCGACCCCATGCAATGCATAAATGGTTATGTGGGACATTCGGAAGACATATGTCGCCAAGCCTTGGGCGACATGCAAGTATAACAGCTTGCGTGTATAGCTTGAGGATGTGGGCTATCGTGGATGCTAAATGAATGACCGACAGAAGTGTGGGTAAACCGATGGTGTGTTGGATCGCTATGTCTTGACTTGGACATGAGCGAGCCATGACTTAAGCATGTGACGTGGTCAATGCAGTTGACGTGTCTTATGCAACGCTTGATGTATGGGCGTCTATGGTTCGTTGCCGGATGCAGAGTGATTGTATTGTCACAAGGTAATGTGACTCGTTGTCTAGTGGGAGACGACACTTGAAGGGGAACCTCTCGCGGAGTTGTGAGAGTCATGAATATCATGAAGTGGGAGAAGGCTGACTGGGATCTGAAGGGATCCTGGGCCTCACAGGTGTGCTTTGAGTGGCGAAATTGTGTTTCGCTTCTGCCGCACCGCGCCGCTCGCTCATCCCGTGACACTTTTCATCTATACTCAAATCTTGAACTCAAAGTCCTAAAGACGGTATAGCTGCTGTCTCTACCACTCCTGTCAAAACAAAATGGTCCGGGAAAAAAATTAATCTTATTCTTCTGAATTGTGAAATAACATCCAACATTAAACATAGTTATATGACGATTGGCAGACTAAATACACTACTACATTTTACAATTTGCGCGACGAATAGAACTTCGTCTCGCAAAATACATTTTAGTCGCACAAATTTAAGAGCGACAGAAACTTTATCGCACAAAGATCGTAAAGAAAGACTTTGCTCGAAGAAAAGTATTGGTTGTGCAAAGTTTTGCGCGACGAAAAGTATTGGTTGCACAAACTTTTGAGCGATGAAAAGTATTGGTTGCACAAAGTCTAAAAAAAAATTATAAAAAATTAAAAAATTCCCGCGTCCCATTTTTGGTACCCACCCAAATTTTTCGAGTTTTGCGCGACGAAATATTTTTTGTGTCTTAAAATTTTTTAATTAAAATAACCTAATTTCATAGTTTGTCGCGCAAGGTTTTTGACTTTTTGTTTTATTTCTTTAATATTAATTTATTCGAATGTTTACTTTTTAAATTTAATTTAATTGTATGATTTTTTTAATGACTTTAATTTAATTATATTAATTTTTTCGAATTTTTACTTTTTAAATTTAATTTAATTGTATATTTTTTTTAATTACTTTAATTTAAATTAACTTATTCAAAATAAAATTACATATGAAAAATAGTGATCAAATTATTCAATAAATATATATATAATATTGAAAATGTACATATAAATTAACAAATTGCAATAATAAAATCCTAATACAAGCCTATTATGGTGGTAGTGGCGGAGGATATGTTTCGATAGCATACTAATCCTCAACTTTAGCCGTCAAAGTCTCGACGATTCCCTACAAAAAACAAATATGGTCAAGTAACAAAAAAGGAAAAGAAAAAATGTGGCATAATCTCCCCTAAAATTGTTATACCACAAATCCAACCCAAACTCCAATTCTCAACCTATACTCAACCCCAAAGCCCACACAAACTCAAAACTAACTCCAGAAACACATATTAATGAAAAAAATTTAAAATTAGGAGAGAATATACCTTTTGGCAAGATTGAGAGTGAGTGAGAATGAGAGGGAGAAGTGAGTATGAGAGAATTAGAGAAGATAGTGAGAGAGAGATGAGAGAGTGAGTGAGAGTGAGAGTGAGAGATAAGAGAGTGAGTGAGAGTGAGAGATAGTGAAGAGAGAGAAGAGAGATTAAGTGAGAGGAGTGAGTGTGAGAGAAAGGGGGAGATTTGGGGAAAGGGAAAGAGAGAAGAGAGGTAAGAGTAGAGAAAGACATTGAGAAAATGATGGAGGAGTTATTTTAGTTTTAAAAACTGTATCACTTTGTGCGACGAAAAATATTGGTTGTGCAAAGTTTTGCGCGACGAAAAATACTGTTGGTCGCTCAAAGTTTTATGCGACCAAAAATATTGAAAAATTGGTCGCGCAAAATTTTGTGCGAAAAAAAATATTGGAATATTGGTCGGCAAAGTCTAAAATAAAAATTCTCGTGTCCCATTTTTCGTATCTGCCCAAATTTTTAAAGTTTTGCGTGACGAAAAATATTGGAAAATTGGTTGCGTAAAAAAATTATAAAAAAAATTCCCGAGTACCATTTTCGATACCCGCCCAAATTTTTGAATTTTTGTGCGATGAAAATTATAAATTGGTCGCGCAAAGTCTAAAATTTTAAAATAAAATAAAATAAAATTTCCCGCGTCCCATTTTTGTTACCCGCCCAAATTTTTAGATTTTTGCAAGACGAACTGTTGGTCTCGCAAACTTTTGAGAGACGAAAAATTGGTTCGTAACACAATATTTATAAAAATAATTGTTATGAATAATAAAAAATAAAATTATTTTATTTTATGATTTAAAATATAAATAAGGTTAAGGCTACTTAATAAATATATATACTATTCAATTTCTTAAGTGTTATACATACAAATAAATAAATTTAAAGCTACTTAATAAATATATATATATATACACACACCATTCAACGATCCAACCGTCAAACTTGTTTGTATATGTATACACCAAAAATCGCAAAAAACAAACATTCAGAGATCTAGTAACGAGACAAAACTTTTCGACGGTTATAAATGAAAAACCATGATTTAACGGTTATTTTAACTCCGATTTTGATGATTTTTTACAGCTACACTCCTTGACCCTATATGAATACAATGACTCAATTGATCTTCAATTTAAAATATTTACACTAGTGGATACCACAAAATCTTATGTTATATTTAACAAAAGTATAAATAAACTCTTAATTGTTAGTGAATATAATGTTTTGATGGCATATGCATTCTACAAAACTAGTTTCAACGATCCAACCGTCAAACTTGTTTGTTTATACTTCGAGATCATATACGCCAAAAATCGAAAAAAAAACATTCAGAGATCAAGTAACATGACAAAACTTTCCGACGGTTATAAATGAAAAATTCACGATTTAACGGTTATTTTAACTTCGATTTCGATGATTTTTATAGCTACACTCCTTGACCCTATATGAATACAATAACTGAATTTGATCTTCAATTTAAAATATTTACACTAGTGGATACTACAAAATCTTATGTTATATTTAACGGAAGTATAAATAAACTCTTAATTGTTAGTGAATATATTATTTTGATTGCATACGCATTCTACGAAACTAGTTTCAACGATCCAACCGTCAAACTTGTTTGTTTATACTTCAAGATCATATGCGCCAAAAATCGGAAAAAATAAAAATTTAGAGATCAAGTAACAGGACAAAACTTTTCGACGGTTATAAATGAAAAATCATGATTTAACGGTTATTTTAACTCTGATTTTGATGATTTTTTACAGCTACACTCCTTGACCCTATATGAATACAATGACTGAATTTGATCTTCAATTTAAAATATTTACACTAGTGGATACCACAAAATCTTATGTTATATTTAACGAAAGTGTAAATGAACTCTTAATTGTTAGTGAATATAATGTTTTGATGGCATATGCATTCTACAAAAATAATTTCAACGATCCAACCGTCAAACTTGTTTGTTTATACTTCGAGATCATATACGCCAAAAATCGAAAAAAAAACATTCAGAGATCAAGTAACAGGACAAAACTTTTCGACGGTTATAAATGAAAAATCAAGATTTAACGGTTATTTTAACTTCGATTTCGATGATTTTTATAGCTACACTCCTTGACCCTGTATGAATACAATAACTGAATTTGATCTTCAATTTAAAATATTTACACTAGTGGATACTACAAAATCTTATGTTATATTTAACGGAAGTATAAATAAACTCTTAATTGTTAGTGAATATATTATTTTGATTGCATACGCATTCTACGAAACTAGTTTCAACGATCCAACCGTCAAACTTGTTTGTTTATACTTCGAGATCATATGCGCCAAAAATCGGAAAAATAAAAATTTAGAGATCAAGTAACAGGACAAAACTTTTCGACGGTTATAAATGAAAAATCATGATTTAACGGTTATTTTAACTCTGATTTTGATGATTTTTTACAGCTACACTCCTTGACCCTATATGAATACAATGACTGAATTTGATCTTCAAATTAAAATATTTACACTAGTGGATACCACAAAATCTTATGTTATATTTAACGAAAGTATAAATGAACTCTTAATTGTTAGTGAATATAATGTTTTGATGGCATATGCATTCTACAAAACTAATTTCAACGATCCAACCGTCAAACTTGTTTGTTTATACTTCGAGATCATATGCGCCAAAAATCGGAAAAAATAAACATTCAGAGATCAAGTAACAGGACAAAACTTTTCGACGGTTATAAATGAAAAATCATGATTTAACGGTTATTTTAACTCTGATTTTGATGATTTTTTACAGCTACACTCCTTGACCCTATATGAATACAATGACTGATCCGATCTAAAATAATAAATTTAAAGCTACTTAATAAATATATATATACCGTTTAATTTCTTAAGTGTTATGCATACAAAATAAAAAACAAAAATAAATTGGTTTAGGCGACGAAATGTTTGGATTACGTCATGCAAAGATTTTTAAAAATAATTTTTTTATTTTATTTATTTTTGTAAAGACTTTGCGCGACGAACTTTATTGTTTCGTCGCGCAAAGTCACTTTGAGCGACGATGTATTGTTGCCGTGCAAAAGTTTTTTCGCGCAACGAATTGTTTTTGGTCGCGCAAGACTTTGAGCGACGAAGTTTTGAGTTTCGTCGCGCAAAATGACTTTGAGCGACGAATAATTTTTTGTTGCACAAAATTTGCTTGCGCAAGGGTTTTTTTTTACTAGTGATACTAAGAACCCACCTCAGTCCACAAGCAAGTGATGTTAAGGGCACTGTTTGCCATTCCCAGGGCACCTCCCATCGCTTCAAAATATGGGACTGCGCTCCATTTTCCTGCGAATTTCACCCAAAAAATGTTTACTTTTGTCCTTTTTTATCAGAGTGGTTTTGTTCGACTCACTGAGAGTTAGTTGAAGCAGAAAAGTGATAACATTTTCTTGTAAATTGCCTTTGGGCTTTCCTCCGCCATTGAAAAAGCAAATGTAAAGCGACCTTCTGACATTTCTGAGCCTTATAAGCTGGGTTGATTAGCGTGGATAACACTTGGTGTTAAAGGTTTTGTGGGCGTTGAGAAAAAGACCATGACTTCGTCATTCGGAGGGACTTAGCTTGGGTGAGTCTGAGAAACTTGAAAATGAAGATTGAGCAAGAGATGTGAATAGAGCGTAAACCATATCATATGTGCATTTTTGTCCTCCCAATCCAGTAAAATTCCTCTAATTTTATCCGTAAAGGATAATCCTATCATAATCCTATTATGTGCATTTGTTTAGGATAATTTATCTTATCAAAAAGGTGGGATACATAATTTCACTACTCCAATGCCTTTGACCTTTGGACCCAAGATCCGGGAGCCGCAACACAAACCAGGGCTAGTGCTAATGAATTATATTTATCATTTCCAATACAGTGCAATCCTACCTCCTAATTCAATCCAATCCTAGTCACCAAACATGGCCAATGGTTCCTTCCTTCCTTCACCTCCTCCTCATCAAACAATTTTGAAACCAACCCTGCCTCGAATATCATATCGTTGTTGTGCATCCATCATGTAATATTCTTCCTAGCCTGTCCATCACCATCTCAACGGTTCTTCTTCTTCTTCTTTGCTTTGCTTATAAGTTGTGTTTCGTCTTGTGCTTTGTTGCCAAACATGGACTGATGGGTGGTTGGTGGTAATTCAGAGCTAAGGTTGTGAACTGTGAATAAGTTTAATTTTCAAATCTTGTTCTACGCATCAAACTTTGATGACTGCAGCTTGGGGTTTAGACCAAATCTTCTACTTCATTCTTCAAATATGCAAAAGAAACTAAATAAATAAATAAATTTCTAGTTACTTGGTTCATAATTGTTTAAGTTGTGTGACACATAAAACAAACAGTTCCAATTATATGATGTTTCTATATATATAAAGGTGGAAGGCCTTAAAAGTGAATATTCAAAATCCCCACAATTGCCCATGATTAATGAAAATACAAAACATAAGACACTTTATTAAATAGGGATAAAATAGTACATTCACACTTTATTTAAATTATAATAAATAAAAAATGAAAATGAAAAGCTCAGTTTGAAAAAAAAACCCCAATTGGCACACAGTAATAAATAAAGCAAAAATCTACAAAAACATCCTAACTTGTAGGCCTCATCATTTGGCCCGCGGGCTCATGGGCCGATGGGGACCCGCCCGGCCCATTGGAAAAAAGCCCCGGCCCGCCTTGGGCCGGGCTAGGCTTGGGCTTGGGTGTCTGAAGCCCGGCCCGGCCCATAGGCCCGGCCCGATTAAGCCCAAGAAAGCCCGGCCCGGCCCACCCACAAAAGCCCGGCCCGTTAGGCCCACATACATATATAATTATGTATAAATAAGAGTTTAGGATTAGGATTATATCACTTAAATCATATATATAATTTGTTTCATTTCATTTACTTTTCTTTACTCATTCCTAGTTTATAATTGGATGATTAGCACATTAATTTGTGTCAATTATTAATACAACAATTATATATATATATATATATATAAATAAGATGAACAATATATCATATCACTAAATATAATCATATCACGAAACATAATCGTACTACTACCACAAAATATAATCATGTTTTTCTTGAACACATCACCAAACATTTACATATTTATTTATACCGTCCTTTAAAAAAAATATATTTTTGATACTTATTATTTTTTAAAATTATTTCTTAAAACGTATTACGGTCTAATTATGTAATAACCTCAAAAATAATACTTTGTTTTATTATTTTTGTGGAAAATCTTATTAAGTTGTGTGACTTTATTGGGTATTTTATGAATTTGGTTTGATGTGAAAATATTGGAATTAAGTGAGTTTAATCTCAAATTTAGACTAAAATGCCCTTATGATTAAGTTTATGATTTTTTTCAAATGAAGTAGGCCCGTTTCGGCCCGGCCCGTTGGGCTTAGCCCAGCCCAGCCCAATGGGCTTTCTCAAGCCCGACTTATGGGTCGGGCTTGGGCTTTGAATTTTCTAAAAAAACCCGGCTCGGCCCGGCCCGATATTTTCTCTCTCCTCTTTAAAGCCCGGCCCGGCCCAAGCCCGTTCAATTTGGGCCGGGCTAGCCCGGCCCGGCCCATTGACGAGCCCTACTAACTTGTCAAGGCAACGCTCAATGAATAGTAGGATGATTTAGAGGCTAGACTAACATAGTCCATTGAGTATTGGTTTTCACTGAGTAATGTTGCGTGATGGTTCCGTCCTCCAAGTTGAAGATCCCCATATCATTTGCTTGATCACCATCTGACAAAGGAGAAGTTGATAGGAAATCATCACCATATCATATGTGCATTTTTGTCCTCCCAATCCAGTAAAATTCTTCTAATTTTATCCGTAAAGGATAATCCTATCTGTTTGGGCCACAAATTGGCATACTCAGCCCAGCAAAATTTAGGCCCAGAATGAAGCTGCAAAAAAATCAAAGAAAGATGGAAGCCCAAAAGCCAGAGAAGACCAGCCCAAAACTCATCAAATCTGGGCCTCACAGGCCCAATATAAAAGGAAGAAGAAAGCCCAGAAGTAGGAACAATCCCACGTGACCTCTCTGAAAAAAGAAAAGTCAGCAATGGCAACTGTCACAGGAGAAGTAATTGAAGGGTTCATAATATCAAGATTGATTCTGGAAAAGCTAAAGATCAAATCCCTCTTACACATACATGATATATATATATACATACTCAGAGATTTTTTTCCCCTGTCTTTTCAGAAGGTAATTCTCCCAAGGAGATAAGCAAGTTACAATCTCAGAGAGAAATAAGCAGGAAAGCAGGAAGCTGTCCAGAAAAGAATCAAACTAACCATCACGGGCAAAATATCGCAAGGGGCAGTTGAAATTAGGCAAGAGATTTCAAAGAAAAAAAAACAGGGAAGTGATTGCCTATCTGTCAAGAACCTATCTACCAAAAACTGATGAAATCCCCTTTTTCTCTTTTCCATTTTTAAAGGAAGATCTTGTGAAAGGATTTGCCGCCCATTATTAAAAGAATTACCCTACTCCAGAAGACATTTCTTATAAATATGAGAAGGAGTGAACAGGGCAAGGACAATCAATCTTACAACAAAAATTTCATCATTCAACCAAACAAAGGTCCTACACAGGCAAACCGTCACATAAACAAGCTCAGAGTCGACCAACAAGTCCACTTGAATTTCAAGTGAAAAACCAGTCCCAGATCAGAATGCCCAGAATCCAGACTTAGGAAGCAAGTCATTCAAAACGAGATTTCTCTCGTTACAAATTTGGTTCAGCAAAAAACCAACACAAGCAGAGTTTGAGCCTCCTCCAAGTATGGAAAACCCCAGCCAAATTCACGGAATAGCCTCTAGCTCACCAACGTCCTCAAGAACAGCCACTTCTGCCCTTTCAGACTGAAGAAACCGCAGTTCTGCCTACTCAGAAGCTTCGCAAAAGCTTGAGGTACATTAAAGCTCTGCCAGAATCAACCTTTGGCATCGATTTGTAGTTGAAAATCGGGCAATCAGAGTTGTCTACGATCCAGTCCAGCCCGGACATTCCCAGTCCAGCCCATCACAGAGCCTCCCATCCAGGCAGAAATGGAGATCTAGCTATCTCTTTATCTTTTTTGCATCGACATGTATCTTTGTAGTCTTGTAAAAGGCACTTCCGCCCAAAAACAGCTTAAATTTCATCAACTATTCTGGCCAGAACAACCTCTTTATACTGAGATAAATTGTTAAAGTCCTCACCAGTCTGAGGCAAGAAAAGAACTTACTTGGGAGATATTCCTCACCCAAATTCACAATCGTTTGTTTAGGAAATCAGTAACTTGGGGCGCAAGTTATCCATTCCAGACTAAGTCTGCTAGACTGTTCATTACTAGCAGTGGCACGCTCGCACACCAAAGAAAGCTGACTTGTTGACCAGTCTATGGTTCTCAAGGCAGTGGGGAACTTTGCCCTTCCATCATAGGAGTAAACACAAAACGGGTGAACAATTTGGCACGCCCAGTGGGACTTCTCAGTATACATATTCTCATTGAGTTCTTCACCAGTTCATGAATACCGGAAGCTCTAGCCAGAACCCACACCACGGCATGGAAATAAACCAAGTGGCCCTCAGGGAAGGACTGGAATCAGAAGAAAGTGATGCCCGACATTCAGCACATGGCAGCACAGGGAGTAGGAGGTCCAGGACCGGTTCCAGAAGAATGAACCTGATACAGGAATCTGTGTTACGACAAGAGGTCACAACACAAAGAAGCCAGGATACTCTAAACAATATGACAGCCATGATGCAATGGCAGGTCAACAGGCAATTCAGGAAGGATCGAGAGGCTGCCATGGCCAGAATTCCCAATCCCGATGAGGTGGTCCAGCAACTAGACCTTCCCTATGGTCCCCCACCAGGGTTGGCGTGGCCATATCAAGAGAATCCTCTTGTTGCACAGATAGCTGGGATGCCAGAACGGGGAGGAATCCAGGCTGGACACCGGGAAGTGGTTTTCCCTATCCAAGAACGTCTGGCCCCAATACAGCCAGAAGGTCCTGCGCCAGGACAAGTTCTACAGAATCAGCAAGAGCCTCAGCCTGCTCCGCAACAAGCGGCCCCACAAGATCACCCTATGGAAGTTCTGCCTGAACATCCAGCAGTGGTACCCTACAGGCCCAGAAGAATGGACCCCAATCCATTCCCTCCACCTGCAAGAGGAAGGAGAGGCAGAGGGGGAAATTACCCTTATGCTAATAACGACAGGAACAGGCAGGGGGCAAACTGGAGGAACCACCCAGGCCTGGAGGAGCCGGAGGAGCACAGGGAAGAAGCTCTGCCTAGACCATACAGGGCAGAACCACGATTCAATCATGCCCAGCCAGAACAGGGACAAAACCTTCCCCCTGTTAATGCTCTAAATGACGTGGGGGCATTGCAGAGGATGATCAGAGAAATGATGGAGCCTGAGGCCAGGAGGGGGGAAAGACCCACCTATAGGAAGCCATATCCACCTTACATTGATCAGATACCCCTGTCCCCGGGCTTTAAAGTACCAAACTTCACTTTATTCAACGGAGAGGATCCCCATGCTTCATCAGTTGAGCACGTAGGCAGATTTTCTACCCAATGCATAGCCATAGAGAATAACCCACTGCTAAAGCTAAGGCTTTTGGGGAATTCTCTCTCTGGACAGGCTTTCACTTGGTACACTACTCTGCCAGCAAATTCCATTCAGACATGGGAGCAAATGGAGAGCGTCTTCCATGACTACTATTACAGGATTCAGCCAGAAGTCACCATCAGTGACCTTGCAGCTCTCAAACAGAGTGAAGATGAACCTGCCCAAGACTTTATAAACAGGTTCAGGAAGCTCAAAATGAAGTGCCGAATCCCCATCGAAGAAAGACACTTCATTCAAATGGCTCAGGCTGCCCTCAAAATCTCTCTGAGGAAAAGATTTGATGGGATGCTGTTTGGAGATCTGGCAGAACTGGCAGATAAAGCGGCCAAGTACGAGGAATTGCTCAGAGAGGAACAGCAGAAGAGAAACTCTTCCAAAGGCACGTATTATAAATCCCCTTCCTCCTCAATACATATGATTGAAGTGGAGTCAGAAGAAGATGCGGAGGAATCAGAGGAGAGAGAGGTTGCAGTTGCGGAAATGGCAAAATTAAAGCACCCCATCAGTTGTAAAACTCTTACAAAACCTCCAAGGGATCAAAAGCCGCCACCATTCACAGGAGGGTTTGTTCCAAATAAACCCATGCAGAACAAAGTGTATTCCTTCGATCTGACCAAAGTAGATGCCTTGTTCGATGAGATGTTGCTACAGAAAGCAATAGAGACACCTCACAGGATGCCCAAGCCAGAAGAACTCAAGGGCAGACAGTATTGCAGATGGCACAATTCTTGGAATCATTCTACCAATAGTTGTGTTGTTTTCAGAGATGTCATACAGGAAGGAATAACAGCAGGAAGGCTGAAGCTAGCAGAGAAACCTCCATCTGTCACCACAGATCCTTTTCCCCAGCCACAAGTTAACATGGTCAACCTAAATTGGCCAGAACGGAAGAAGGACAGACCAGTCATGCAGGCTGGCTCCAGTGGAAGCAGAATAGTTTCAAAGGAGACTATGGAAAGACCAAAAGCAACCATTTCAGCTGGAATAGTGCTTTGCAGCAGGTGCAATTGTGAGGCTGAGTTGGAAGTAGTCCTGGAAAAACAGGAGCTGCCCATTCCAAGTGTTTTTGACCGGATCGGAACCACGCCCCATGATAGGACCAGGCAGAGAAACTACCCTAGGCCTGTCCAATCCAACAGAAGGGTGACTAAGCAACCCAAAGAGGAAATATCAATAAAAGTGCCCGGAAGTAACAAACCTTTGGCGGCCATCATTGAAGGCAGGTGGTACTCTATCGGGAAGAATGGCAGACCAACCATGGAGCTGACAAGAACCCAGAGGAGGAGGGTTCAGAGACAGTACTGCACATTCCTCAATAACGAGAAAGACGCACAGGTGCTTCCAAATGCCAATTCTGCCAGAAAAGGGAAAGAACCAGAATTATTTCCCCAGACAGAACAAGCAGTCTCTCAACTACAGAAGTTGACAAAAGCAGAATCCTCAGAGAAACCTTCTGTCCATCCTGCCCCCGCCTCAGGAGGTCTACTTGGAACTCCCCAACTAGAGGAAAGAACCGATCCTGTTTCAGGAGAAGGACAAGAAGACTGGGTTGAGGAAGATGAAGAGGAGCAGCTGGATTATGAGCCATCCACAGATGACCAGAATACCCTCCTCGGGACAGAAGAACTGGGAGAATGGACGGAGAAATATGATGGAGAACAGATGGAATATGACGGAGAATTGGATGCAGAAACTGAGGCCTTTGGTGCAGAACTGGAGGACTTGTTACGTGTTGACCTAGGCATCAATATGGTGTTCATTCTGCCAGAAAAGTTCTGGGCGGTAGAAGGACAGAAGAGCACTCTGGATGGAGACGTATTTTCCCAAGAAAGTTTTGAATGCAGGTTGGCAGAAACGGAAGAAATGCCAGAACAGCAAACAGGCAATCCCAGGATAGAAGGAGCAACCCACAAGCTGACAACAGGTCCCCTTTGCTTCTCCAAACCAACCAAAGAAATGGCAAACCACCTCAGACCCTTGTTCATAACAGCAAACTTTGGGGGTGTTCCGATCCCCAAAACCATGGTAGATGGAGGTGCAGCCATCAACCTTCTGCCTCACAGAATGCTGAGCAAAATGGGCAGAACAGAGAAGGATCTAATCCCAACCCGCCTGACCGTCACCAACTTCGCAGGGGGCATCACCAAAACCCTTGGGATTCTGGATGTAGATGTCTTGGTAGGAAGCAAGAAGCTGAAGGTTGCATTCTTTGTGGTAGATACTACTTCCACCACTTACAATGCATTGCTTGGCAGAGATTGGATTCATCAGAGTCTGTGTGTTCCTTCCACTCTTCATCAACAGTTAGCTTTATGGAACGAAGATGGCTACATGGAGATAGTAGAGGCCGATCCACGGCCATTCCTACCTTCTGCCATGTGTTGTGAGGCAAGGTACTATCATGATGACCTTGGTCCTTTCACTTTCTTTGGAGTCAACCAGAACGGCCGCCCCCATGGTGTCACGGCCCAGAGACTCATTGAAGAAGGTCTAACCAATTCTTTGGAGGATTGGAACAGACCTTTTGTCCTAAATTTCCAAAGCACTGATGTTTAGTCCCAATCAACAAGAAAAGGATCGAGCTGCAACAATCCGGTCCATTACAAAAAGATTGTTGATATACTGGGAGGAAAGAAGGTTGTTTGCACAGAATCCAGCCATCAATATGGCAGAATTCACTCATGAAAGTACGGAAAGCCAGGAGGAAGAAGAACTACAGGAGGAAGTGCTAGATTTCGCACCAGCCGCATTGGATGACTCTCTGCCAGAAGTAGAAGATCCCTTGCAGGAAATAAATTTGGGAACAGAGGAGGATCCAAGGCCAACCTTCATCAGCGCACTATTGAAAGAACCACTTAAGAATGAACTCGTTGCACTTCTACGAGAGTTCAAAGACTGTTTTGCTTGGCATTATCACGAGATGCCAGGATTAGACAGGGAATTGGTAGAACACAAGCTACCAATCAAAGAGGGATACCTTCCAGTCAAACAGGCCAGAAGAAGAATGTCCATGGACACAGAACTGAAAGTCAAAGAAGAAATAGAAAGGCTGCTCAAAGCAGGATTCATCAGGCCTGCCATCTATGCTGATTGGCTAGCTAACATTGTACCAGTTCTAAAAAGGAAAACTGGGGCAGTCAGAATCTGCGTGGATTACAGAAACCTGAATGAAGCCTCTCCCAAGGATGAATACCCTATGCCAATGGCAGACATGCTAGTAGATGGAGCTGCCCACAACCAGATGCTATCTTTTATGGATGGCAACGCGGGTTACAATCAGATCATGATGGCAGAAGAAGACATCCACAAGACAGCCTTCATGTGTCCAGGGCATATAGGTGCTTTTGAATATACTGTAATGCCTTTTGGCTTGAGAAATGCAGGGGCTACCTATCAAAGGGCAATGAATTCTGTTTTCCACGATATGATAGGGCATTCCTTGGAAGTGTATATTGATGATGTTGTGATCAAATCACCAGAGGAGGGAAACCACATGACAAATCTAAGAAGAGCATTCCTCAGAATGAGGCAACATAAACTAAAAATGAACCCAAAGAAGTGCGTTTTTGGAGTTCAAGCGGGAAATTTCCTAGGATTTTTGGTCCACCAAAGAGGCATAGAGATCGACAAGAACAAAGCAAAATCCATCATAGAAGCTTTACCGCCTAGGAACAAGAAAGAATTGCAAAGTCTCTTAGGAAAAATTAATTTTTTAAGGAGATTTATATCCAATTCTGCAGGAAAGATCCAGCCTTTCTCTTCTCTGTTAAGGTTGAAACAGGAACAAACCTTTAAGTGGGAAGAACAACACCAGCAAGCTTTTGAGGAAATCAAGCATTACCTCTCAAATCCACCAGTTCTGTCCCCGCCAAAGAGAGGCAGGCCACTCAAGCTCTATATATCCGCATCAGAAGTATCCATTGGAAGTTTATTGGTTCAGGATAACAAGGAAGGAAAGGAACAGGCGGTTTACTACCTAAGCAGAACTCTGACAGAAGTGGAAAGGAAATATTCTGCAATTGAGAGACTTTGCCTAGCCTTGTACTTCACTGCTGTAAAGCTCAGACATTACATGCTGCCACACACCATCTATATCATTGCCAAAACAGATCTGATCAAATACATGCTGACAAGACCAATGCTGAGAGGCAGAATTGGAAAATGGACCTTGGCCTTGACAGAATTTGCCTTCAGATACGTTCCTCAGAAAGCCGTCAAAGGACAAGCTGTGGCAGACTTCCTAGCAGATCATCCCGGAGAGGAGATTGAAAATATGGACTCTTTAGACATAGAAAATGCAGATCTATTAACCAGAGCTCACACCTGCCTCAACAATCCTATCTACTCAGTTCATCTTACACCTTGGAAGCTATACTTTGATGGGTCAAAAACTGATATAACTTCCGGGGAAGGAATTGTTTTGGAAGAGCCACTTGGAATCAGACACTGCTACTCTTTCCAATTAGATTTCCGATGCACCAACAATAGGGCAGAATATGAAGCCTTAATCATTGGCTTGGAAATGCTGGTAGAATTAGGAATCCAGTTTGTGGAAATCCTGGGAGACTCCATGCTGGTTCTAAAGCAAATTGCTGGGGAATACAAGTGCCTAAGCCCTTCTCTGGCTGTCTACTTGGTGGCAGCTAGAAATCTTCTGACGGAATTCAGAGAGGCCACTTGGGAACATATCCCAAGAGAAGAGAATTTTGCAGCCAATGAATTGGCCCAGGTGGCAACAGGCATACAAATACCCGAAGATTGTGTACAAAGAATCATCAAGATAGGAAAGAAAAGTTTACCATCGGTTCTGGCCAGGGGGATGGAGATAGATGTCAACTCTGCCACAATCGCTGAAGATGATTGGAGGAATCCTATCATGACCTATCTGCGATATCCAACTTTGCCCTCTGAGAAGAAAGTCAGAATCATGGCTTTAAACTACCTTATGTGGAATGAAGATTTGGTCCGAAAGAGTAAGGATGAGGTGCTTTTAAGGTGCCTCGGGAAGAAAGAATACATGAAAGTTATGGGGGAAACCCATGAAGGAATCTGTGGAGCACATCAAGGTGGAAGAAAAATGTGCTGGTTAATTAGGAGATATGGCTACTTCTGGCCAACCATGATGAAAGATTGCATTAACTATTCCAAGGGGTGTGAATCTTGTCAAAGACACGGCCCAGTCCAGCAGGCTCCATCAGTTCCCATGAATCCAGTGGTAAAACCATGGCCCTTTAGAGGATGGGCAATGGATCTTATTGGCAAGATCTATCCAGCCAGCAGCCAGCAGCACTGCTTTATCATTGTTGCCACAGACTACTTCACCAAGTGGGTGGAGGCCAAGGCTGTTAAATCCACTACATCTCAAGAGATCATCATTTTCATAGAAGAACAGATTATCCAAAGATTTGGCATCCCAGAATCAATCACAACTGATAGAGGATCATCTTTCATATCTAGAGAAATGCTGGACATGGCAGAGGCATTCAAATTCAGACTGCTCCAATCCACTCCTTATTATGCCCAAGCCAATGGACAGGCGGAATCAAGCAACAAAGTAATCATCAACATTATCAGGAAAATGCTTGAAAAGAATCCAAAACAGTGGCATGAGAAGCTGTCAGAAACTCTGTGGGCATATAGAACTTCAAAGAGAGAAGCGACTGGCATGACTCCCTACGCGTTAACCTACGGTCATGATGCAATTCTGCCTATGGAGATAGCTGTTCAGTCCCTCAGAATTGCTCACCAACATGACTTAGTAGGAGAAGACTACTCCCAGGCCATGCTGCTGGAACTGGAAGGATTGGATGCAGCCAGAATTGACACTCTCAACAAACTCCTGGCAGGAAAACAGGCTGTATCAAGGGCCTACAACAAAAGAGTCAGGAACAAGAGTTTTGAAGAAGGGGAGATAGTCTGGAAAGCAGTTCTGCCCCTTGGAACACATGTGGCTGGTTATGGAAAATGGTCACCTACATGGGAAGGTCCTTTCATAATCAGCCAGATCCTTGGAATGGGGGCATATAGGTTGCAGGATAGGGATGGAGAAGTTCATACGGCCCCGATCAATGGCAAATGGTTAAAAAAGTTTTATCCAACCATGTGGGATTCACAGGCTGTACAAACAGACCCGGGGATAGACACAGGAGTTAACTAAAAATCTTTTGAAAGTTACCCTTGTTTTTACCTTAAGTCTATCCCTTTGTTGTATTCCTACTTCTGTTTTCCATTCGATCCATCAATAGAAATAAAATGAACTTTATTTAAAAATAAATAAACCATGGGGCCTTCCCCACGGCAAGCTGTTCAGAAAAGCGAAAATAACGAAATCAAAATCCTAGTTTTCTAAGAGTCTCCTGCAGGTTAGTCTTCTTGGTAGAAAGTTCCTTTTGGAGCAGCACACCCTGATGAATTGAAGCTTCTGCAATCTCCAGGGCTGGCCTAGAAGCTGCAACCATGTTCTGCACAAGAAAAGTAGCCTTGGTCTTAGAACTCAATCCAGCCCCGAGCCTGTGCTGCACTTCCCGACGCTCTGCCAGCTGCTTTTGAAGTTCTGCAATCTCTTTTTCCAATTTATCCCCAGCAGCTTTGGCTTCTTTATACCCCGCAACCATCTGGTCCAGTTCTGCCTTCTGCTTTGCAAAATCAGCCAAATTGGCTTCATGAGTGGCCTTGCAGAACTCAGAGGTTTTGAAGGTAGGCTTCAGGTCTTCATAACGATCGTGAAGGTTGAGCACGTCCCTTGCCAAGACAAGACTCATCTCAAGAATGGGTCTTGGGGCCATGTTCTGTCTATGCAGCAGGTCCAGATCCTTCATCAACTGATCAAAGGCCTCTCTGTCTTCATCCAGCTCCAATTCAGCAGACTGCCAGATCTTCAGTCTCTCCATTGCTTCTTCCACTGCCCTGGACTTTGTCTTACCAACAGGAGAGCTGAGCTTTTCCAACTTATCCAGCTGGGCATCTAGGTCCATGGCTTCAAATTCTGCCAGCTCCGGGTCAGCAAAAGAAGCCGTGGCAGATGAACCTGCAAGAGAATGAATAGGCATCTGCAGAAGGAAGCATAAGGTCAAGAACAGGGCAGAGACAAGAAGAAGAAGATAGAACTGCAAAAAACACTCACTGCAACAATCGGAGGCTGCAAGGGGGTGGTCCTCACCGCCAAAGTCCCAGCAGTTCTTTGTGCTTCCACCTGTAAAGATTCGAGGGTCAGAAGGGACCAAGGGACAGAACGAAATGAGAAACGACAGAATAAGGACAGAACTCACCATAAACCCAGGAACGGCAGCAGCCACTCCTGCTACAATTTCAGGAGCAGGAACCACTTGTTCTGCCTGATCCCCGGGCTCCGATCCGGATTGTTCCACTTGGTCCTCAGCTGCTGGAGCGGCAGTGGAATGTTCTGCCTCTGGATCATCAAAAAGGGCCACCTCTGAGTTGGTCAGCCCTGCCCCTATATCTTCCTGCTGCTTCCGAGCCAAGGCAATGCTCTCCGCTATCACCTCAGCAGGAATTTCCTCCTACAGAATGCACGGAAGTCAGAACAGAATAGATCAAGGTGCAGCAGGAACAAATACTCCCAGATATAAATACAGACTCACCTCCTCCTCCACTGACTTGGCCTTCTCCTGGGGCTCCTCTCCTACCTTTTCCAGCTCTTCCAGCTCCCTTTCTTGCTCCACAGCTTCGAAGGCCTCTCTCAGATCATCATCCGTGCCGGAGGTGGTGGTAGGAACTGCCCCAGTTCCCTCCGGGGCCACGTATTCTTCTGCAATCTTCTTTCTAAGTCTTTTTGACTTAGTAAGAGGAGGAGAGGGACCTCCAACTGCAAACAGACAGAATAAGTCTTAAAGATTAAGACAGAACAGGATTATGAAGAATTCAAAAAGAGAAATCATCAAAGAATACCTGGAGCCACAGACTGGGCAGTTTCTTTTCTTTTTCTTTTGACAGGAGAAGTGGCCTCAACAGGAGTCTGTTCTGCCTGATCTCCCTCTTCTTCTTCTTCTTCTTCCTCCTCTCCATCCCCGGAGGGCAACTCCAGATCTCCAGCAGCAATGACAGAATTGACTATGCAGAAGACAAAAGTCAAAGGTCAATCCAGTAGAGAGTAGCCAAAGACTGGACAAAAAACACAACTTACCAAACACCTCTCCGCTTTGGGCTGGTTGGCTGCCTATATTCTTTGTCAGAGAAGGATCTGAGTACAGATAGAAAGGATTAGCATCATCACTAAAACACAGAATAGGCAACAACAGACAGAATAGAGAGATTACCTTCTATAATTTGCATGTTGATGTCTTTGATGGTCTGCACCATGAATCTGTGAGTCTCGTCGTCTGAATGGACATTCCAATTGTCCCAGCCCTTAAAAAGGACTTGAAGTGCGGTGCTAGAAGCAGGCAGATCACGGAATCTGGCTTTCCACCAAGCATCAAACTCCACAGAACTGCAGGAGTTCAATTCCCAGGAAGGATAAAGGGCATCTGCACTGTTGTTAATCTTGTTCACGGCACACCTGGCGTCTTTGTGGACCTCCAAGTCATCTGCATCCCTCCAAGAAGAACCCCGATTGCAGCTTCTGTATGACTTGAGGGGTATGAGCTGAGGACAGCCAAGCTGCCTTGCACAGAAGTTGGGATGGTAGACTTCCGCCCCCAAATGATAATTTGGAGGCTTTCCCCCTCCATGAGGCAGATCCCTGGGTAAGGTCACACTCAGGAACTTCTTCCTGAAATCAGTTCTGGCGGATTCTTCTTCTGGCTCTTTCTCAAACAGACGATGTCCAGGCTGAAACCAAGGATAGGTCCTCCTAATCACCATCTGCCACTGTGCTGCAGACCTCTTGGTACAATGCCTGAACATCATCAGGTATTCACCAATTGACCGCTTGGGGACTTCTGCTGACAGCAACGGTTGAGCCAGAACCTGGTTCTCAGGCAAAACTATGTCTGGATACCTTAACTCAGGAAAATAGACCTGCAGCCAGATCTGAATCATCCAGAAGGCACCAGGAGCAGACAGATTCAGCGGATACTCCAGAGTAGCGGTATGCAGGTTCTTGAACAGATGGGCCAGAACTGTAGGTCCAAGGCCAACATCAGTGTGATTATGCAGAGCTTCTGCCAGATGTCTGTACTCAAGCAGAACTGCAGAAGAACGATTGGGCAGAATAAACCTGTTCAGCCAATACAGGAGAAACAACATATGCTGCTGATCTTTGTCCTTCTCAGCACTAAATTTTCTAAGATAGTTGGAGAAGGAGCAATTCTGGTTGATCAAGGTTGGGGAAATAGTGAATGGCTTGGCTAGCTTCTGCTGGTCCTTCTTCCTGTGATAATCACCAATGGCATCAACAGGTCTTCCGTGAGGCCTAAAACCAAAAATCTGGGCCATATCCAGCAGAGTGGGAGCCATGGGGCCTATACGGAAATCAAAAGTGTTACTGGCAGAGTTCCAGAAGCACAAAGCAGCAGCAAGCAGATTCTCATCCCTGTTGATAGATTGCCTGGATAGGAGAATGGCGTCATAGATTCCAGCCCGCTTCCAGTGAGCCCCAAATCGAGGAAGAAGTTTGTCAATCCAATCAGCCCACTTGATTGGACTATTTCTCACCTCACTGGATGGGAACGAACGACTCAAATTCTTGCTGACCCAAGAATGAGAAGCCAGGGCAGAAGAGCTCTCGAAACATAGCGGGGCCTCAGCATCCTTCTTCATCAACTCCGCCATCTCGGGAGGAACGGGGCCAAACCAGTGAGGCCCCAGCACCAAGGTGTTTTCAAATAAATGGAGGACATTTTCATCCAGGTTTTTCTGGGCAAAAGGATGGAGCTTGCTCCTAACCTCTATCGCATGACTATCGATTCCAGCCCCAGTAACATAGTCTGGAAGAACTGGAACAGAGGAAGACTGAGCACGGGATTTCGGGGAAGACATCTCTTGGAAAGTTATTTTTTCTAAAGGGGGGTTCACAGGAAGGGCAAGGCAGGATCAAGCAAAAGGAAGTTCTTCGAAAACACGAAAGGAATCAAGTTTGAAAATACTAGGTTTTCAGGTGAACAGGAACAGTGGTTTTCGAAAGACTTTTAAAGAAGCCAGAAAACGTGGGAAAGAGATGACAGCGACGTGGAGAAGACAAAGCGTCAATCTGATAGTGACTAAGCTAATAGAGGGCTAGTAACTGAAGAACTGCGCCACACGAGCACTAGCTTAGTGGGGAAGCGTGGCAGACGTGGGATAAATGAAGGAATCCACCACGCGCCAATTTAATGGCCATGTCATTTAAGTCTGAAAACCGTTTCAAAACGATTCAGACTTAAGGGGGCATTGTTTGGGCCACAAATTGGCATACTCAGCCCAGCAAAATTTAGGCCCAGAATGAAGCTGCAAAAAAATCAAAGAAAGATGGAAGCCCAAAAGCCAGAGAAGACCAGCCCAAAACTCATCAAATCTGGGCCTCACAGGCCCAATATAAAAGGAAGAAGAAAGCCCAGAAGTAGGAACAATCCCACGTGACCTCTCTGAAAAAAGAAAAGTCAGCAATGGCAACTGTCACAGGAGAAGTAATTGAAGGGTTCATAATATCAAGATTGATTCTGGAAAAGCTAAAGATCAAATCCCTCTTACACATACATGATATATATATATACATACTCAGAGATTTTTTTCCCCTGTCTTTTCAGAAGGTAATTCTCCCAAGGAGATAAGCAAGTTACAATCTCAGAGAGAAATAAGCAGGAAAGCAGGAAGCTGTCCAGAAAAGAATCAAACTAACCATCACGGGCAAAATATCGCAAGGGGCAGTTGAAATTAGGCAAGAGATTTCAAAGAAAAAAAAACAGGGAAGTGATTGCCTATCTGTCAAGAACCTATCTACCAAAAACTGATGAAATCCCCTTTTTCTCTTTTCCATTTTTAAAGGAAGATCTTGTGAAAGGATTTGCCGCCCATTATTAAAAGAATTACCCTACTCCAGAAGACATTTCTTATAAATATGAGAAGGAGTGAACAGGGCAAGGACACAATCAATCTTACAACAAAAATTTCATCATTCAACCAAACAAAGGTCCTACACAGGCAAACCGTCACATAAACAAGCTCAGAGTCGACCAACAAGTCCACTTGAATTTCAAGTGAAAAACCAGTCCCAGATCA